TATCCATATACTCGTTGAGCTCTGCATCAATTGTTTGGACGATTCGTTTCACTGTATTTTCCATCAGCGCCTGGAGTTTCACTCTTATTTTCAATGCACTTTCTTCGATGAATTCCTAGGAGGGGCGCATATTTTTTTCACTGCTCCGATCACATAGTAAGGTGGAAATCTTGAAGGTGATTCACTATGTATTACTTCGTATTGAAATCTACTCAATCCAGCCTCGATAAGTACACTAAAAGCCTCTTCTGGTGACATCATTCCTCGTTGATCAGTTAGTTGAGCCAGCATGGTTTTAGAGCTTTTTTGGTTTTTTAAAATATGCCCAATAACTTTAACTAAATTAAAATCCTTTCGATTATAAGCGGTCCGTCTTGCAAATAACAAAGCTTTCTCGATGGTATTGAATTTTGGATCAACTGCTTCTTTATCGATGACGCGACGTTTTCCTCTTTCACTCAAATCCAAGAAAGGTTTTGAAGGTCGTCCACGTTTTGTTCCCGATGCCGAGGTTGAGGCAACACATTGCTCCTGTTCGATGAATTCCTCGATGCCAAATTCTCCATCAAGCCAATTCCGAAAATACGACTCAAATCGCTCTTTCGTGCGATTAGCTTCATGCCATTTGTTGATGTATTTAGTAACGATTTTATGGATCTTTTCATCGAGACGTTTACGTTTTTCCACCGAGATGTTATAATTTTCACAAATCCAGAACAACATGTGAAAAGGGCATACAAGCTTTTTGTAAACAAACCTTTTTATGCCCTTTTCTCGCCACCCATATGACACCAACGCAAACCTTTAACATCACCGGGTAGGGGACACTTTCCCCTTCCCGATGATATTGCTGGTTTGCGTGGGCGACCCTCGGTTGGTGAGAAAAGGGCCTACAAAGGTTTGTTTACAAAAAGCTTGTATGCCCTTTTCACATGTTGTTCTGGAAATGAATTCAATGGCTTTGTGAACATTGTCACTATGGCTTAATTTTGCGTGTAATAGATTAATAATGGTTCTATTATTCATGCTCACACTTGGTCTCAACCGTAAATTTGAATTACACTGTAGTAGTTTAAATAAAAGCTACACAAAATACACTATGGCTTCAAATTGACACTACAGTAGGTTAAGTATAGACTTAGGTATAAATTAAACTCATCTGTGCATATCCCTAATAAAAAATAACCATAAACGAACGATAACCCAAATCATTGAACTATTCCACAAATGGTTTGGATGATACCCAGAACACGTCGTTAAGCAAATTAACCATACAATTTTTATTAGGGATGCGTAGGTACATACTTACGCATATGCTTCTATAATCGTCATAACCCAGGTACTTACTTTAGAATAAAGCATAAACTAATGTAGTTTTACGTTCATCCAACAGTGAACTTTATGATAATGATGACTTCCTTTTGTACAAAAGCTTGAGCCCTTTTTAAAAGTTGGTCATGAAATATTAGAAAATCTACAGTGAGCATGCATAAGGGCGAATACGCGATGATTGATTCTCTTCATCGATTTTTTCTTTGCATTGCTACAGCTAAGCGAAACAATTTTCTAGAATGTGTTCAATGCAGAGTAGTAACAGGTTATATTGGCTATCAAAAGCAACAGCAAACGCACCGAGAAACGTTAAATCTAGCGAGTTATTAACAAAAGAGAAAATCGACGAAGAGAATCGATCATCGCGTATAGGCCCTTATGCATGCTCACTGTCGATATAATCTTCTTCGTTCTTTGTCATGACAAGCAGCCCGTGCGGCACAACTCACTCGGGGCGGTAGAAGGAAACGAGCAAATTGTTGGCAAGCTGTTCACGAAGTAAAGCCGAAGATGATACACGTGTGTTAATGGGATTTTTTTTTGTTATGTCTTTTCTCGATTCAGATCAAGCTATGTCCTCATCCGTGTATATTGCAACAAAGCAGACAAGCAATATAGGGGAAACGCTCCTATAGTCGCGGTACGTTAGAAGCGTTAGGTTCCTATAGTTGTGTATGGAGACTCAATACACAACTATAGGAACCTAACGCTTCTAACGTACCGCAACTATAGGAGCGTTTACCCTATCATTATCCTTCTACCACTCGGATCGAGCTATGTTACAGAGCGAGTTTGTCATGGTAGTCGTAGCAACCGTTTTGTCTGTATCGTTGGTTGCTTTATGTGTTTGGATTCGCTGAACCGAATATAACTCCAAAAGTTGCAAAATAATTGTTGAAAAAGTTTGTTTCCAAGCCGGCTCTTGTACAATTTGAAATCTCCCATAATAAACGAAAATTTTCAAATCGCTTATATTTCCAATAGGGCAGGTTGGGGCTGGCAAACTCTTCAGTACTTGTTAGAGTACACTCAAAACTTCATCCAGAGCTGAGAATTAGCCTGGGAATGTGCGAGACTCGAAAGTTTGTGATCAATATAGTTAAATTTTCATTAATTTTCAATTATTTTTTTTTCTATTTTTATTTTTAAATTTTTTTTGTCTCCATCAAATTTCTAAATGGATTTTATTTTCGAAAAGCTTATTAAATTACCTTTCCAACGATGTATAATGATGTGGTAGTTATATGATAAATAGTGGATGAAATTTTATTTGAGTGGTAGTGTATTTTTGCGGCAAAATTTGTACTTTTCTTACTCTTTTTTGACTTCGACATCCGATATCTCAGAAACTAAAACTGCTAGAAGCTTGAAACTTTCAGATTCTCGTAGTTAAAATGTTTACTATCGACCAGAAATAACGAAATAAGGATTAGTGAAAGTCGATTTTTTTAATTTTTGACCGCCTGATATCTGATAGTGGAGTGGTACGAACCCAACGGGGTTGAAAAGCGTGATGATGGGATACACGACGAATGGATCTAGGACCCTAGGAAGAAGACGATTTTCACATCCCGTGACGTTGTGTTTGACGAGGAACGGAAACCGGAGCGAAAAACAGGTTCAGTGAAGGTAATTTACAAATCGGACGAAGAAGACGACGGATGGGTCTGGTGACAGCCATCAAATCCCAGATGTCAAAGCGTTTCGAGATGGTGCATCGCCAGCTCATTGGCTGCTTAACGTACCTAGCACTTGCGTCGCGACCAGTTATCAGTGCTGCTATCAACTATTTCAGCAGATTCCAATCTGCCCCGACCGATGCTCACTGAAGCGTGTACTTCGGTATCTGAAAGGGACCGTAAACATGGGTTTGGTCTATCATCAACATGAAGAAGAACAACCGCTGATCGTTTTCGCAGATGCTGACTGGGGAAACAGTCAAGAAGATCGACGATCGATATCCGGAAACGTGCCTTCAAATCTATGGAGCAACGGATTCGTGGATGACACGAAAGCAAGCGACTGTATTGCTATCGTCAACGGAGGCCGAGTATATTGCCCTTAGCGGCGTGTGAGGCGATTTGGCTCAAGAACTTGCTGGAAGAACTTGGGAGTCATCTTTCATCATCCGATACCGTTATTTGAAGACTTGCATCCGAATTGCCGAAGAACCACGGGATCACAAGCGGATGAAACATGTCGACATTCGGTATAACTTTACTCGAGAGAAAATCCAGGATAGTCTTTTCAAGATTATCTACAAGTCAACGACTGAGCAAGTTGCAGATATTTTTACGAAAGGACTGCCAAGGGAACCGTTCGAGGGATTGCGGAACAAGCTAAGGCATTTCGGTTGAGCGGAGGTGTTGAATGACAACCGACCGATGCGTTGCATAGCAACCTAACAATCTAGATATTAAAATCGTGGTAGGCCTTGCCTTCTTCAAAATATGAATTATTGTTCTCTTTTTACCCAAGCTACCGTTCAATAAAGACGCTTTAACTTTGCTCTGCCTATTTTATTACCATTGTGCAATGGTTTAGAGCAACCGTACCAATGAGTAAATAAGGCACATTTACCAACCTCTACCATAACGCTACTTGCGTACCGGGGGTTGCTATTCAGGTGAGTGGGGGAAATAGCAATCCGCACCTTGGGAAGTAGTGAATTCATAAATCTAGCAACCCGGTAGCAACGCATCAGACGGTTGCTATTTTGAAAAACGTCAAAAGTTTGTTTTGCCGGTGTGGAAAACGGTAACTTAAATTATGACTCTGACGTGCGGAGTTAGATTATGATTTTGGGCATTTCTGAACGAAACAATCAGATCTATTACGTGCGTCGTTTGCCTCTCTGTCACTTGTGGGTTGACAATCGATGATTTTTGCCACCTCACTGGTGACTTGTGACTAACGACTCTCAGAATAGTTCTGAATATTTTTTTCAGCAGAATTGTTCAGCTTATGGTTGAAAAGTTAATAAAATGACGAAAGTGCAGCTATTTTTAGGATATTTATTTCCACCGACGACAGAATAGTTACAGTAAATAGTCTATATTTTTGTATATGGATTAGATAGTAGGTACGTGACAGTTGTCATTATTAGCATGAATACTATAGGCTCGATTCAAGTATGACGTCCACAAATTTTTATTCTTTTTTATTCCCGCATTTTCCCATACTTATTACATATACTGTTTCAAATTCTACGACCTTCCCACCACCTCAACAGTAGTCGTTATATTTGAATCGGCCTTACTTTGAGAGTTCGATGTGGCAAGTATGTACCGTAAAGTACCATAATTTCGCGCAATTTCCAATCCTAAAAACATGTGTAATATTTCTGTGTGGATATTTTCAATTGAGCTGAATATGTTCATTATGCCCCTCTTACCCCTATTATTGACTAGTGTATGAGAAAATATAAATTAAGAAAACTTCTCAATGCAATACCAAATGTTGGCAAAATGAGCGGAGTAAGGCGCCGCGCGAAATTACGGCACTTCACAGTAGATGAATAATATTTCCATTCGACAAGTTTATAAGTTCACACGGTAACCACAAAATACACAATAATGAGTATAAAGCATGCATATCTCGGAGTACGCATAAAATGAGTAAAATTGTACGTATAAATGAGTAAAAGTTATTCATATTTTTTTCTCAAAAATGCATACTTTATATTAATTATTGAGTATTTTGCGGTTACCGTGTAGCTAAAATAACTACCTTTATTATAAAAGCTCTTCTTCTATTCGATCAAAATGCAACAATCCTAAAAATATCCAGTGCTCGGATTTGTTGTTCCCTATAACAATGTATCTCTAAGTTTTTAAGATATCCAGCATCAACGGTTACCACTATCGGAAAATTATTGTATTGGAGGAGATGAGATTCATTTCAGGTCCACACTAAAATATCTAAATCTGAGATTCCTATCAATGCTATTCCCATAACCTAACAATCATCCATTTTACCCGCCTTTTGAACCTCCTTCGCCAATCCGGATAGATCCGGGTACAAAACCGCCGCCGGTACAACGCGTTGCTGCGATGTAACCACTCCACTAGTGGACGGTCCTTCTCCAGCTGCGGCACCGTCCACCTCCGGAATTGCAGGCCTATAACCGGCGACCAGCGCTTTCCCTGCATTCTTCGCGGTCCGCTTGGCGATTCCCTTCGGAGTAATGTAGTTCATATTATGGCTCACGTTTATTACGTTACCCACCGTATCCAGTGAGCTGCCCACCACCTGCCCGGCGTCCGGTCCGTACTTGTGCTGTACAATTTGCACGGTACTATTGCTCAAGCTACCGCCCAGGATGGATGCCGACTTTTCCAATCCGGAATAAACAGTTCCGAAGCCTTCGACTGCTCCGGCGCAAATGGTCAGTGCACCGTGAACTTTCTCCGAGGCATCCTCCGCACTTATGCCGGTACTGTACGATAGAAGATCGGAGCCATGTTTTTGAATGTGGGGAGCCAGAAACCGGCCCAGGGCCATGGTAGCACTTCCGACTTTTCCCGCAACGTAACTGGTAACGTTCACCGCCGTACCGGTAACAGATTTAGCTATTTCGATACCCGTTTTGACGTTGCTAGGAACTTGAGCAGGGGCTTCCTCGGGAGATTTCCGAATTTTCGAGATTAGATAAGGGGTGCTGTAGGAAATGAACTCCCCTGTTTTCTCGGCCCCTTTGACCAGTCCCTGGGACATGTAAAAAGCTCCTTTGATGATGTTGGCCGAAACGGTGGCACTTGTGCTCCGTTTCTCACGTGAAACTCCGAAACGAACCGCTCCACCTTGGGTGACAATCCCGTGAAGGAAAGCGATGAAGATTTCCAACACGATATCATCCGCATCGGGAGGAACAACTAATCCAATGGTTCTTCCGTAGTCTGTTGTCAGATCCGGAATAATGAATGCTCCATACTCGGTCCTGTAGCACGGCGACACTCCCGGAATCAGTGGGTAGATGAAGGAAGGATCCACTGCATGATATTCTTCAACAGGGCTGACGACAACGACGCCTTCCACCGCTTCCACTGCTTGGTCCAACGACTCCTCTGCGTTTTCTATCCTTGTGGAAACCGATGTTGGAATGATCTGAAGTGAGAGAAGAAAAATCAAAATTTGAAATAATCTACTTTACAGCCCATCAGCTTACCTGCAGGAAAACGGTACTCTCCAGCTTCTTGACGTCGTCCTTTTCAATACGCACGATTCTCAGGGTGGAATCTTCCAAAGTTCTCGACACCACTCCATCCGGTTCGATGTAGTACATTTTCACCCCATCGCAGGAAAAGAGCAATTCCAAACTATTCTGCGCCCCGATCTGATCGCTGCTGCACTGCATTTCCCTCAAAGCCTGCGCCAGCTCCGTATAGGTTCTAGGTCTCAACGTATCGCCACTTCCACCAGCCGCCAAGTTTCCATTCTTGGTTGCTTCCGCTTCCTGCTGATCCATCGTGCTACCAATCTGCCCAATCCGCTGCAACACCTCTCCGCGGGTACACTTCATCTTGTGAATCATCTTAACAGCCTTGTTCCAGCTTTCATCCTTCTGGAAGTTGTCCGGAATTTCCACCGGGATTGTCAACGCTTCATCAATGGTCCGTATACCGTCCTTGTAGTCCTTCAGGGCCAAGTCGGGTCGTTCCCGTTCCTCGAATTTGATGGCCCGCTCGATGATACGGTAGGCGTCATCGTGGGCCGCCTTGATGCTGGCGAACGTTCGTGTCCACTCGGACTGTGGTGAACCGAACATTGTTGGATTCCTGTGGAATGGGATAATTGGAAAGTTATTCCATCACGATGCACCGCTGCAGATGAGATGTGATTACGTGAATTAGCTGTGAGAAATATGAAGGTAGGGGGAGTAGGGGATTTGTGCTGCTGCTGCTGTTGGATGGGATGAGGTCTGGGTGAGAAAGATATAGATTGTGCTGTAACAGGTTATGTGTTTCAAGGACATGTGTCACCGGAGTAGAGTTTCGATTTATAGAAATTTAAAGAAAAGTATTCTAGCTTGTGATCTTAAAATCAGGATCAAGTGTGGGTTCCTAATTTATATGTTTTAGAGTAAACTTCAAAATCTCCACAAAATTAAAATTTAATATCCCTTTTCAGACAGAAATCTTGAAAAAATCAATAAGTTATATTTACAAGAAATACTGAGTTCAAGCTTTCGCTTTATGAATATTGTTCGAGCTACGATGGACACTTTGCAAAAGGGGCGGGCGTTAGTAATACATTTCCTGCTCACTGCTAGACGATGCTTCTTCTTCAGTTCGGTTGTTGGTGAACTGAACATACTCCCACAGGCAAAAAGTGGAAGTAAGGTCATTATCGGCTATAGGTAAAGGTCGTTTGAATGTACCTGTCTTCGTTTTGACATCTACCACTCTTACTAAATTGTCCGCTCCAGGATAGACATTCACCACTCTTCCCAGTCTCCAACATTGAGGGGGAAGATTATCTTCTTTTAGCACAACGATAATTCCAGGTCGAACGTTCGCCTATTGCTTCGTCCACTTTCCTCTCACTTGCATTTCGGTGACATACTCTCGCGACCAGCGCTTCCAGAAGTGCTCGCGTAACTTTTGAATGTGCTGCCAGTGAGATAAGCGGTTATTCGGTATATCCAAGACTGATGGTTCGGGAACTGCCAAGAGCGGAAGGTTGATAATAAAATGACCAGGAGTCAGTACTTCAGGTTCCAACGGGTCACTTGATGGAGAATACAAAGTTCGAAGATAGAATCTGGCATAACAGGGTGGAAAGTTCGAAAAGCGTTAGTGATGTAGTTTGGTAAGCCTTCTTCAGCACTGCTCTTTACTCCAGCCTCCCAAAGACCACCGAAATGTGGTGCATTTGGTGGGATCGTATTCCAGTTGATCTGCTTTGCTTGACAATACTCAAAAATCTTATTTTGGGTAGTTTCCTCCTTGAAGAGTCGATACAGATCCCGCAACGCAGACCTGGCTCCGATGAAATTCGTTCCATTACCGTTGAACACTTTTTCCGGAAATTCTCGTCTGGACACAAAGCGCTGAAATGCAGCCAGACACGAATCAGCAGACAAATCTTCCACAGCTTCCAAATGTATGGCCTTCGTGACCATACATATAAAAACGCATATGTAGCCCTTCACTGGAGTAGCCTTACGCACTGACTGCTTGACATAAATCGGGCCCGCAAAATCAAGTCCGACTCTCTTGAAGGCTTTGGCCGGGGAAATGCGGTAGGACGGTAAATCTCCCATCTGTTGATCAATTGTAGTGGGTTTTGCCCTAAAGCAAGTGACACAGCCTCGTAACACCTTTCTGATTGTAGATCTCGCATTAATCAACCGAAACTGTTGTCTCATAGCATATTGAACGCTGCTGCATCCGGCATGTAGGTTTTCTAGGTGGATATCAGCAATTAAACCACGAACTACGGGACTTTTGTCAGGTAATATCAGCTGATGTTTCACTTCAAATGGTAGTTGGGACTGGCTGATTCGACCGCCTACCCTCAGCAAATCATTGTCTAGAAACAGCGTCAAGCTGTTAAGACGGTGGTTGGATTCTCCCGACCTAATACACTCGACTTCTTTGGCAAACTCCTGGTGCTGAACAGCTCCTACGTTCAAATTCGATGCCGCCCGAAGCTCCGATATGGCGTGGTGCGGAGATAACAGTCGATCCTTCTTATTTCTAGCGTTCGTTATGAAGCGTAACAGGTATGCCACGATTCGTTGAGACTTTCTAAATGAATTAAACTTCGTCAACAATGGAAACTCGTCGTAGTTCATCACCGGTAATGCGTACAATTAATTTCATAGTTCAGGAATTTCGCACTCATTCAGCGTAGCTATCTTCTCTTCCATGTAGTCGACGGTGCGTAAAAAGTGTGGTCAATTCCAGCTAACTCCTAGGCAGATTGTCCTCGTGACACAGTATCCGGTGGATTCTGGTCAGTGCGAACGTATTTCCAAACAAAATGGCTGTTGGACGTAATCTCGGCAACTCTGTGCTGAACAAATACCTGTAGGCTGGTAAGTGGTCTGCGTAACCATGCCAGTACAACCTGGCTATCGGACCAGAGGATTGTTGACTTGAAGTTCATCTCTAAAGCTTCTTGAACCTTAGTAACTATTCTCGTTAGAAGAAGTCAATGGCGTGCTAGGTGCAATTTTAGACTTCGCACTGACCAATCTCATTGATGCTCTGCCATTTGACAAGATTGACCTAACGTACACGACAACTTGTCTCTTTGTGGGTCTGGAGATTCTATTTGGAGACTGTGATCGAAACAAAAATTCGTCAGTTGATGTATTCCATATCAATCCCAATGTCTTGATGACCTCGTTGATGCCACTATCGCCAATTGAAACATATTGATCTTTGTCTTCACTAGGAATGGAGGACAGAAGCCTTTCATTGTTGGAAGACCACTTATGGAGATGCATTCCACCGAACTGCAGTAAATCTTTCAACTGGTCTCGAAGTTCACACGCTTCTTGAAAGTCGTCGGAACCAAAAAGTGCATCGTCTATGTAGAAGTTCTTTTCTACTAGTACTGAGGCGAGAGGGTACTTGTCTCGTCCGCCGTCGTACCAACAATCAATACGAAACTATCGATTTGAAATTGGCTCACTACTTGACTAGCCTATTGGTCCCAAGCAAACGATTAACGTATACCATTCTTGTCGGAATTCTAGTACTACACTATGTTTGTTTTGATTCGCTATGAACGTTTGACAGATAAAATCAGGGGTTCGTGGATTTTTCTATGTTTCGAGGGGTGAATCGATTAGCTTGGGATCGAAGATAGTACCAGAGCTGAGCCAAAAAAATTAGCACATTTCTTCGGAGCCTTCTGGTTTTAGAGTTACCTCTATGGTCGTACCATGTCACTGTCGTTAGCTCGAGAACACGCAATGGGTCCTGAGGTGACTTCCGCCAAAAAATACGGTGAAATACAGTGAAGACGAGGTCCAACAACATCTGACGAAACATTTTTGCTACATCTGCACTCAAAACGTATCGTATTAAAAAACGGAGAATTATTGACAGCAAATCGCTCTGTACGGTGGATCCTGTCATCATGACGTCGGTTAGGGACAACCCGGAGACCTTTGCCGACGCATCAACAACTACTCGGCATTTTGTCCTCGTGTTCGAAGGGCGCAGAACTGCGTGGTGGGGAAGGTACCACGTCTGCAATCCAGGTGGGTCATCGCATTCCTTCACCTCCCGACAGTGTCCGAGCTCCTCATATTCGTCCTGGAAGGCATCATACTGTGCTTTCAAATCTGGATGGTGTTGTAGCTTCGATTCGAGCACGTAAAATCTTCGCAGGGCCATGGAACGAGAATTTGAAAGCTGCGAAGCGATGTCCTTCAATGGATGTTGTACGATATAACGACCACTATCATCTCGGCGATAGGTTGCAGCAAAATGTGCCTCACATTGCTCCTCCTCGCACGATCGATATCCATATCGCTGGCTTACTAGGAGTGACAAAATTGTCGAAGGAGGATTTTTCTGAGCTGAGGGCGCTGGTCGAGACTATCAGTGGTCATGTGGAGAATCTTAAGTTCCTTAACCAAGAATTCACTGGAATTTCGGAACCCATCGTCATGCACTTGATCGCCCAAGTCCTGGATACTACAACGAAGAAACTGTGGGAGTCTACGATACGAAGAGGTGAGCTTCCCACTTACGAGAATACCATCCAGTTTTTGAAGGATCGTGTCTCAGTTTTGGAGAGATGTCACAGTTTTAGCGCGGAATCTAGATTGGATATACAAATACTAGACTGCCTATGAATAATCGCATATCAGTCTCATATAACAACGCTATCCACTATCAATTGGCGTCTACTTTCATATTATGCGATAAAACTATGGACTCTGATCATGAAAAATGTGAAAACAACATCAAGTCAGTTTGTCCCATCATGCAACAAAATCGCATATCAGTTCCATCCTGAAATTCAATCGTCTATAGATCAACTTAAAGTAACATATCCGCCATTTCGAGAAAATTTATGATGAAGTTGGACAGAGTATCGTGGTAACTGTTTTGAAACCATACATTTTGCAATACTATTTTTACCATAGTCATAGCAACAAATCATACACGATCCGACACCTTTCACCACTGCTCGCTTGCCATCGAGCGACACAAAAAACATGCGATTTGCACACATGTGCGAACTCGCACCGGAATCTACAATCCAGTCTTCAGCCGCACTTTCGCTAGCACTAAACGCGAATTCTTGCACTTCGCTTGCTGCTTCATCTTCTTCTGTTCTTTGTTTTCGCCCCCTGCAGAACTGCTGGCACCTGCTTCGTTCTATAATTTTCCCGTTCACTAATTGCAGTGTCAAATCGTCCCCGGATATGTTCTCCAATGTTGTCCTTAGAGCGTCGAACGAATTTGGCAAACTTCGAAACACTAGAATCACCTGGAGATCTTCGTCTAGCTTTGTTCCAGTATTGGCCAGCTTTTCGAACAAATCCTCAAACTCCATCAGGTGCTCTTCGATGTGGTCACCATCGTGGTAATTCATGTCGCAGATCCGTTTGAGCAAATGCACTTTGGATGTGAGCGTGTTCTTCTGCCGCTCCGAATTGTCCCACACTGCCTTCGCGGAATTCGCATTTCGAATGTGCCCGTGGTGACTTCTTGTCGCAGTCCGATCGTTGCGCGCACTTTCTGGTCTTCATCGTCCCAGGTAGTCAGCACCGCCACATTTGCACCGTTCGCAGCCGCTTCCGGCTTCACTCCCGGCGAGACGTACCGCCAAAGTTCCTCTCTCACTAACAGAAACTCGACTTCCAACTTCCACGAATCGTAATAATCGTTCGTAAGCTTGGTGATTCCCGTTCGCTCAATTTTATTGAATCGAAAAGTGTTCGAACAAATTCAATCAAATAAATCCCCCTTTCATTTTCCTTCAACTTGATCAAACGTGCATAATAATTATTGTTCGCTAGGGGAAATGAACCAAGTTTGTGCTGAATATTGGCCATTTTTTCAAAATTGTGTAGGGGAAACAGTCCTATTATTGCGGTACGGTAGAAGCGTTAAAAGTCTATTGTACAATAGGCTTCTAACGCTTCTAACGTGCCCCAATAATAGGACTGTTTCCCCTATTTTATATTTTTTAATCAACACGAAAACGGTTCATCTAATCGAAATGATGTCTGGAGACAAAGTTGTAGTTTCATAAAAAATACACACTGAAAAACAATCACAAATGATCATCAAAAATAAAACAAATACTGTTAAAAAATTCAATCAAAAAGTACATTTTTACGATTTTTAAACTTATTTTAATTTTACTTTCTGACATTGGACAGAAAGGACACTTTAAAATTGATCAATATTTATGTAAAAATACCAGGACCAGGTTGAAACATTAACTGAAAGTTTGTAACATACGAAACTTAGAAGGGTTTATTGTTTATTGCAAATTCTTATCACAAAGAGAGGATTTGGCGTATCTTCATCTTGATAAATATGTTTTAATCACGTCGCATCTTACGATCGTTGTTGAAAGGTACGTATGTGTAGTTTCTAAACAATATAAGACTCATGATGATTGGGGTTTATGTCTAGTCTAGTCTAGTCTAGTCTACACATACACAGCCAGTACTTGAAAGAATCCTGGAAAACGATACATCTATCATTTTTCTTGTCATTATTAATGCATGCTGCACATCAAGGATGTGAAACAAACAATAAAGCGGCCAGGCCTACTGTGTAGCGTTAAGTTAATTTTTGTGGAAGTGAATGTTTACCATGTCTACTTAATAAGTATAGACAGTGGTTAACATTTAATCCACAGGTAATCAAAGAGCGGGGACATACCGTACCAACCGCTCCGTATGCAGGATTTGAAAATAGGCTATATAAATCGTTGGGAGTGACAGAGCTAAGAAAGTTAATGTACACTCCTTGATTGTCCGATCTCCTGGGATGGAACACAGGTATTTACCCCTTGTGTTCGAGCGTACAGTCCTCCCTCCGTACAAGCGTGGACGGCACCGCCAACCCACTGCCATCCCTCAATCGATCCAGCCGACCTCAGTCGAAGGACAACAGAGAGCGGTGTGCGGACGTAACCTATACGGAGGGAATGCTGTATTCGCCTAGGTTATAGCGCCCTTGCTCGCTACCATTTTCTTCTAGCGGTTGGGACCTGAGCACTAACTCTTGTCCTAGCCCTATATGGCATATGGTTATAGCGCCATTACTCGCTTTCTGAAAAGAGAAGAAGGTAAGGGAAGGAGAGAAAAAGGACTTGGGAAAAGGAAATGCGGAATTCCTTTCCTCATTAGTATTTGTATCGTCAACTTTTATGAAAACTATATAAATCATTCTTCCTTGGTCAGAGGTATTATTACGACATTTGAATAAGATTGTCTTATCATTTCCCTAATAAAAATAACCATAAAAGAGAGCTTAACGACGTGTTCGGGGTATCATCCAAACCCTATGTGGGATGGTTTACCTATCCGAGATACAGTTCGTTTATGGTATTTGTTTATTAGGGTTGTTATTCAAAATTTAATGTTATAATGATCAACATAGCTTTGGATTATCCAATATAAATCGGTAACACTGTCCTGCAACCGATGTAGGAAGCACCAAAGAATATATATAGACAAATCTCAAAAACACAGTTTTAACTGATAGTACTTTATAAACATCAAACTGTCCAATATTGGATCCTGCCAATTATTAGCACCAGAATAAATTGCAACGGACTCACCAAATTGATCCATGAACGATGTCTTGTTACAGTGATCTCCATATTCAACGGCTGGTTGACTGGGTTCGAAAATAGGTTTTCCTATTCTTAGTATCGGACAAGCGAACCAAAAATCCTGTATGGCCAATCAGTTGATTAGTCAGATGATGAAAGCACAATTGTGCCTGAATGGATTCAGGCTGCTAATCGGAGAATCTGACCCACTTGTAAGGAACACAAAGAGCCACAAAGAATAAACAATGGTGCTAGGTTCCGAGATGATCAGTGGTTTAAGAACTCTGGGGTGGCAAATAGTTGAAGGAACACTAATTACAACTACACAAAAGTCTAGAAAAAACGGAGCAAAAATTGACGGTTGAAAATTTTCTAAGTCTCTCTTCGAGCACAGCTCACTACGATCTCCTCATGATGATTGGGGTTTATGTTCACTTTTTCTTTAAAAGTAATTTAAAGACACGACATCCTATACTTGAAATTTCATGGATGCGTGAAGTTGATATAGCCGGATGACAGCCATACAAACGCGTTATCAAGAACGATTATCAACAAGTAGCACAACAAACCGGGAGTGGAGTCGCTTTAAATTGGCTTTTTTTTTCCTTCACTCTTACATTTCCTCAGTTCAGCCTGAACACTTGAGGCACCGAACATACAGACACACGCATAGCAACCGAAAAGTTTATTAACTGAGAATGACATGAAATCCGAACCCTGATGCATAAGGGTTCTATATAGCTTTTCGATTAACTGATATTAGTCAGCAGCCAAACAAATGTTCTCGTATGACGATTCACTTGTTTTTCGGAGCGTCATTTCACAATCGTTAAGCAATGTTTGATATTAGCTCAAAAATAAACATGACCTTCTTCACTAAACTGACGTAACCCTAGAGCGGTCTGGCAGCAGATTAGTCAAACATCTATTTCTATTAAGATTCGACTTTGCACTTTCCGTGACGTGTCGGTAGTGAGCGTCACGATTCAGGAACGGCGATTAATTAGCAATCATAAAAAAAATCGAGTGCCACTCACTGGCGGTGCAAATTGTAAAAATCGCGTGATCCGATCCAAACCACACACAGCAATATAGGCGTCGCTTCCGTCAACGTTCAACCGAGCAGCACCTCTACGGTCAAGGAGGATTTCTAATAGTGTTCTCCAATATAGGTTTTTTTGATTGTTTCTCTGCCTTACTTTATCAACACTTACCTAATATGAGAATCACTACTTCCCAAGAAGATTCCGGTTTGGTAAATTCTCCAACACTAAACTTTTCACCACTGCATCACTTTGTTTTTATCGACGGACTAGGAAGAAGGCGAGCGAGTTTTGCTTGCCGTGCAGCGTTCGTCGTCATACGATGCGGAATGAATTAAAAACACTGGGTGAGGTACTGGGCTGAAGCATGGCGTTGAACATGCGCACGCTCAGCAAACCCACTGTTTTTATTAATCGCCTAGTGGTGTTAGTTAGGAGGGTATATGATCGAATGATATTTTGTTGTTGGTTACCTGGTTATCAACCAATAATGAATCTGTTGCTACACAAATGAACACCAACAATATTTTTTAACCTTTGAAGTTCCAGTGTTACGCCTTTAGCTCGATTAGTGATCGGACCGCCACGGCGTAAAACGTAACAAAACATTGAGGTACTTTATTAGAAATTTCATTAGGGCCCGTGCATAATTTTTTTTTTATTATAGTCACTTTAACACTCTTGGGTTATTCGTGACTTGTCCGGGGGTGAGATTTGAACTCGAAACTTTGGCGTGAGAGGCATGTTGGGAAATATCGGATATTGAACAACTATTAAAGGCGAGATTTATCGAGCAACGTTTTTATTTCAATGTGGTTCAATTACACGCTTTTAGAAGAATGACGGAAAATAAACTTCTGGTTGCATCATACGTTTTTCAAAAGAACATAGTTTGTTTGCTCTCTACGTTGTCGTTGTGCGAGGGACGCACTGATGCACACAGAGAAATGATTTTTAAATTCAAATGGATATATTTTTGGCTCAGGGCCTAATATATTGTTGATATTGATTCAAATATATTATTCGGTTAATTCAAAGAAAAATATTTTGGAATAAACAAACCGGTTGTAGAGTCAATAAAGGGTGTCCACGATGAAATTGCCACACACAAAATTGATTCGCAAAATTCGAGTTTTCATCCGATTGCCATCAAATTTTCAGGGATTGAAAAATAACTATTAAACTTCATTTTACCATTTTACTCGTATTTTATTTACAGTCCATACGCAAATGCCCGCACCTTGGCCTTAACCCCGGCCATAAGATTCTGCACAACCTGTGAATCAACCGTTTTTTGCATTTAAACCCCATACTTTCTTCAGTTCCTCGACTGTCTTCACTACCTTAGGTCGTTTAAGAAGGTGCTGCTTCATAATCGCCCAGTACTTCTCGATGGGGCGGAGCTCCGGAGTGTTGGGAGGGTTGAACATTTTCGGCACGAAATAGACCTTATTGTCCGCATACCACTTCAGCACGTCCTTGGAGTAGTGGCATGAGGCCAAATCCGGCCAGAAGATTGTTGGGACGTTGTGGGCCTTCAGGAGAGGAAGCAGCCGCTTCTGGAGGCACTCTTTTATGTACACCTGTCCGTTCATCGTGTCCTGGGTCACGAAAGGTGCACTCCGCTTCCCGCACGTGCAGATGGCTTGCCAAACCAGGAATTTCTTCGCAAATTTGGACATCTTCTGAGTGCGGACATGCTCCGGAACGCTGAACTTATCCTTGGCCGTGAAAAACAGGTTGCCGGGGATCTGTTTGAAGTCGGCCTTCACATATGTTTCGTCGTCCATGATGCAGCATTCAACTTTCGTCAGCATGTTGAGGTACAACTTCCTGGCACGGGTTTTGGCGGACTTGTTCTGCTTCTCGTCGCGATTAGGGGCCTTTTGTACCTTGAACGTTTGAAGCCCAGCCTTAGTTTTGGCCTTCTGGACAAAACTTCGGCTTAGGTGCAGCTTCTTAGCCACATCCCTAACGGAGGCGTTCGGATTTCGGTTGAAGGCCCCAACTACGCGGTTGTGATTTTTGGTGTTGTACGGAATACTTTTTCCTTCACTTCTGGGCTTCCGATCGGTGGTCAACCGTTCCTCGAACCGCTTAATCACTCGCGACACCGTGGAATTCGCGATTCCCAACGTTTTAGCGATGGAACGATGCGAGAGATCCTTGTTCTCGTGATGAATGCGCAAGATTTTATCACGCACGAGCTGTTCTTTCGACTCCATTTCCGCGAGTTTTGATCACAGGACTTTAAAACTTGCAGGATGTAAATAATGCACTATGAACTAAATCCACCCAAATTTTCATTAAATTCTACCCAACGGTTAAAAAGTTAGAGCAATTTCATAGTGTGGCAATTTCATCGTGGACACCCTTTAATCTGTTTGTTGATTCTAAAAACCATTTTGTTGATTCAAAAATATGTTTCGTTGAAATAGGGATACAATACGTTTGAATCAATAACAAAATACATTAGGCCCTGAAACAAAAATCCATTTTTCTGCGTGTGTAGACGGCATCCCAACTAACAATTTTCGCAATGTAAACGCTTTACTCATTTCATTTATACAGCCTCAACTCAAGCTGTATTCAAATGTTATACAATATGAGGAAACCTTTACTCAACCTCTATGCAAGCAAATCTGGCGAACTTAGTCAGCTACTTATGGCTGTTGGAACGGTCGGGAGAAGCTCTTATTGCATATCCATTAACGCTTCTATACAGCTGTTATCCTGCTGTTTAGTTGTATGTGAACTTGAAAGGCGCTTATTCAACCTTTTCTCGGTTATCCAATAATCACTGCACAGCTTTCTCTTGAAGCCGGGTTAAATACTGTTTGCGATTTTTTATATGAAGGAATTTATTGAGTTTATTTTGCTGTGAATCAAATTAATCGAAATTAGTTACAAATCATCCCCAAATTATTTACCCTGCACCGGAACCTGGAATCGAACACGAGACGACCTCATTGGCAAACCTTGACACTACCAACTGTGCTACGCCAACACTTTGAACTTATGTAAACAAATCAACATTCGCTTCTACAACAAAATCGCTGAGTAGAGGCTTTATAATAGTACACATGAATCACTTTTCCCGACTAGTTATAAAAGAGCAGAGTAAAAGCTGTAAAACTGCACACATCTAAAAATAAACCTAGTTGACTGTGAAAATGCTTCCGAAGTTGCTCTAACACAGTTTATAAGATGAGTACAGGTTGTTTAGTTGTTGAAAAAGCACTTTTGATGTTTATGTTATTCAGCAAGAGTGGTTGGTTGTGTAGAAGCCATCAAATGAGTAATATATTCACTTTGTTAGCTTTGTTTTGCAGCTACAAGTTGAAAGTTGATTAGTGTGTGTATAGAAGTGACATGAGCGTTTATTGGCTGATGTTATTCAGTGCGACTGACAAATTGAATAATGGTTGTGAGAAGTTGAGTAAACGCTCTCCAAAAATATTTTGCTAGCTTTTGCTTGTAGCTGTATCTACAGCTTCTTTTCAACTACTTTACAGCACAACGCTGGAAAAGTTGGCTTACAAAGCTGAAAATGTTAGTTGGGATGTGGTGTACTTTCCAACACTCCTCCTCACCATGTGCCGCCACTGTCCTTTGTCTGTGACAGTCCCAGCAATCCTGATAATTTCTTGAGTTTTGTAGTTCCAAGTGGCTTAGTTAGCATGTCAGCCACCATCCCTTCAGTGGGACAATATTCAAGTCGCACAGATCCCCTGTCGCACAACTCTCGAACATACCTCTCCTTTGTCTCAATATGCTTTGAGCGACGGCTGATTCGATCTGATTGCACAAACTGGATGCATCCTTGATTATCTTCCATAATACATGTCGGTCCATCCAAAGTTTCACCCATGTCACTAAGCAGTCTTCTCAACCAGACAACCTCTTGACTGGCCTCTCCAAGCGCCACTTACTCAGATTCCATTGAGCTGAGTGTGACACAGTGTTGTAGTCTGCTGCCCCAACAAATCGCCCCTCCAGCATAGAGGAAGGCATAACCCGTTGTCGACCGACGAGTACTGATGTCACCAGCCCAATCTGCATCCGAGAATCCTAGTAGTCCTTCAGTATCGCTCTTGTACACCAGCTTAGCACCTTTCGTTGATTTGAGGTAACGAAGCACCCTCTTCGCCGCCACCCAATCATTTTCAGTAGGAGCACACACCTTACGACCAAGTATAGACGCACTCACGGCTATGTCTGGGCGAGCACACACAGCGACGTAAAGTAGGGCACCTACGAGACTCCGATAGGCCGTGTTGTCGAGGAATGGTGAGCTAGTATCCATCGACGAAACATACCCAGTATCCATTGGGCACTTAGCAGTCTTGGCAGTTTGTAGTCCGAATCTAGCAGAGATTTTGTCAATGTAACTCTCCAGGCAAATACTATATTTCCCGTTCAGTCGTTGGATCTAAAGGCCTAAGAAGAAGCTTGGCTCTCCTAAATCGGTAATATCAAACTTTTCACTCGAAGCTTTGGTCATTCGGCCAATCTCCAATGATTCTATGCAAGCGACAAGTATGTCGTCGACATATACCAGCTAGTAGGTTCTCAATGCATTAACGACTTTGGTGTAGAGGCACTGATCCGTTTCACTTTGCGTAAATCCCAAATTCTGCAACACGCTATGTAAACGCTGGTTCCAGCACCTGGCTGATTGCTTGAGTCCATAGATGCTACGACGAAGTCTGCACACAAGTCGTTCTTTACCCTTCTCAATGAAGCCAGGTGGTTGTTCAAAATCCTCCCGTACTTTTTCGTGTAGCCCTGAGCTACTAAACGAGCTTTATGCTTAACGATTTCGTTTGCACCTCTTTTGATCTTGTAGATCCATCTACAGCCGACCGCCTTGCGGCCGATTGGAAGTTCTGTTAGCTCCCACGTACCATTTTTATCATGAGATTCTAGCTCCTCCTTCATCGCAGCTCGCCATTCCGATTCATCGGGGCCAGCCAATGCCTTTTGCAAACTTTGTGGTTCATCATCTGTAGCCTGGACATAGAAAATCTTCTCAAGTAGCCGACGTGGGGGAATTCCCTTGTTGACGCGAGATGATCGACTTAGATTTTTGTCTCCTTCAAACTCCTCGAATGCAAGTTCATTCTCGACTGAACTGTGAAACGAATTGCTGTCATCGGTTTCATCCTCTTGCTCCGAAACTTCTTCAGGATCTTCGAACATCGGTTCATCAACGACTTCTTCTGTTTCAAGCTGCTCGCGCGTACCATTAGTTAGTTCAAGGAACTTTGCGTCCCTACTAATAGTAACACGGTTC